GGGTTAACTGCCTTGCTCAAGGGCAGAATGGCAGATATTTCCATCTTGCTGGCTTGGGGATTCATACTAGAGACTTATCAGTTACGGGCTCAACGCTCTTAACCGCTAGGTTTAACCACTAGGGGGGGCGATTTTAAGGGATAGTTTCACCCACATTTCTAAATAAATACTTTAGCTAACATTAGCTAACAAGTGAAACAGTGTCCGAGACAGTCCAGAAGAAGTGTCAGTTTTAGCTAGCTACCGTTACAGACACTGACATAGTTAGCTAGCGAAATGTCGACAAAAACCGTACATTTAGTTATATTCCACGACAACACTTCAGTAAGCTAGTGTCCCAAGGACTGGAATATGTTCTGGGATTCATCCAATGGCATTAGGGGTTTATACCACCTCAATCCGGACGTTTATAAGAAATCGCGCTATGCCTTCAGACGAACCATCAAACAGGCAAAGCATCAATACAGGACTAAGATTGAATCCTACTACACCGGCTCTGACACTCGTCGGATGTGGCAGGGCTTGCAAACTATTACAGACTACAAAGTGAAACCCAGCCGCGAGCTGCCCAGTAATGTGAGCCTACCAGACGAGCTAAATGCCTTTTATGCTCGCTTCGAGGCAAGCAACGCTGAAGCATGCATGAGAGCGGCAGCTGTTCCGGACGACTGTGTGATCACGCTCTCCATAGCCGATGTGAGCAAGACCTTTTAACAGGTCAACATTCACAAGGCCGCGGGGCCAGACAGATTACCAGCACGTGAACACAGAGCATGCGCGGACCAACTGGCAAGTGTCTTCACTGACATTTTCAACCTCTCCATGACCGAGTCTGTAATACCTACATGTTTCAAGCAGACGACCATAGTCCCTGTGCCCAAGAAAGTGAAGGTAACATGCCTAAATGACTACTACCCCGTAGCACTCACGTCGATAGTCATGAAGTGCTTTGAAAGGCTGGTCATGGCTCACATCAACACCATCATCCGGAAACACTAGACCCACTCCAATTCGCATACCGCCACAACAGATCCACAGATGACGCAATCTCAATTGCACTCCACACTGCCTTTTCCCACCTGGACAAAAGAAACACCTATGTGAGAATGCTGTTCATTGACTACAGCTCAGGGTTCAACACCATAGTGCCCACAAAGCTCATCACTAAGCTAAGGACCCTAGGACTAAACACCTCCCTCTGCAACTGGATCCTGGACTTCCTGATGGGCCGCCTCCAGGTGGTAAGGGTAGGCAACAACACATCTGCTACTCTGATCCTCAACACGGGGGCCCCCAAGGGTGTGTGCTTAGTCCCCTCCTGTACTGCCTGTTCACCCATGACTGCGTGGCCAAGCACGACTCCAACACCATCATTAAGTTTGCTGACGACACAACAGTGGTAGGCCTGATCACCGACAACGATGAGACAGCCTATAGGGAGGAGGTCAGAGACCTGACAGTGTGGTGCCAGGACACAACCTCTCCCTCAACGTGAGCAAGACAAAAGAGCTGATCGTGGACTACAGGAAAAGGAGGGCCGAACACGCCCCCATTCACATCGACAGGGCTGTAGTGGAGCGCGTCGAGAGTTTCAAGTTCCTTGGTGTCCACATCACCAACAAACTATCATGGTCCAAACACACCAAGACAGTTGTGAAGAGGGCATGACAACACCTATTCCTCCTCAGGAGACTTGGCATGGGTCCCCAGATCCTCAAAAAGTTCTACAGCTGCACCATCGAGAGCATCCTGACCGGTTGCATCACCACCTGGTATGGCAACTGCTCGGCATCTGACCTTAAGGCGCTACAGAAGGTGGTGCGTACAGCCCAGTACATCACTGGGGCCAAGCTTCCTGCCATCCAGGACCTAAATACTAGGCAGTGTCAGAGGAAGGCCCAAAAAATTGTCAAGGACTCCAGTCACCCAAGTCATAGACTGTTCTCTCTGCTACCGCATGGCAAGCGGTACCGGATCGCTATTTCTAGGACCAAAAGGCTCCTTAACAGCTTCTACCCCCAAGCCATATGACTGTTGAACAATTAATCAAATAGCCACCCAGACTATTTACATTGACGCCCCCCCCACCCCCCACCCCCCTGCACGCTGCTGCTACTCACTGTTTACATGTACAAATTACATTACATTTTTTAACATTTTAAAATTACCTCGACTAACCTGTACCACCGCACATTGACTCGGTATCTGTACCCCCTGTATATAGCCTCGATATTGTTATTTTATTGTGTTACTTTTTTTTTTTTTTTTTTTCTACTGCATTGTTGGTTAAGGGCTTGTAAGTAAGCATTTCACTGTAAGGTCTACACCTGTTGTATTCGGCGCATGTGACAAAGAACATTTGATTTGATTTGATGTTGTCAACAGAAGAGTTAGTGAAGTAGGTTACTGGCAAGATTGCTAGTTGCAGCAAGTTGCCTGTGTGTTACAGGCAACATTTTGTAAGTCAGTTATTGTCAGTTATGTATAGCCTACGCTCCAGAATGTGATGTGATTCGATGAGATCACTGACATTTTGCCAAGGCAGAGAGGAGTGGCGAACACCGGACAGCAGTGGCTTAGTGCCAAATGTCATTACACTTTTTGGTGTTTTGTGTAACAGTCTCTTTCCATTCACCACTGTTTGGAGGCTGGAAATGTGTTGCTAGTGGATGAATGCGCGGGTAGCCTAGTAAAGGAGCCCTTTAAAGTGTTTGTTTGACAATCAGATAAAAACATTATGACTAGTTGTATTTATGCCACAATAAAAGGTAATAAAAGTTAAATGACATACAGTATCTTTACAAGGCCCACAGAGATCCTATTGAATTAATATGGATTTTATTTGTAATTCTATGACTAGGCCCATAAAATGTTTTGGTGCACATGCAAGCGCGTGCACACATACAGTGAGGGAAAAAAGTATTTGATCCCCTGCTGATTTTGTACGTTTGCCCACTGACAAAGAAATGATCAGTCTATAATTTTAATGGTAGGTTTATTTGAACAGTGAGAGACAGAATAACAACAAAAAAATCCAGAAAAAACGCATGTCAAAAATGTTATAAATTGATTTGCATTTTAATGAGGGAAATAAGTATTTGACCCCCTCTCAATCAGAAAGATTTCTGGCTCCCAGGTATCTTTTATACAGGTCACGAGCTGAGATTAGGAGCACACTCTTAAAGGGAGTGCTCCTAATCTCAATTTGTTAACTGTATAAAAGACACCTGTCCACAGAAGCAATCAATCAATCAGATTCCAAACTCTCCACCATGGCCAAGACCAAAGAGCTCTCCAAGGATGTCAGGGACAAGATTGTAGACCTACACAAGGCTGAAATGGGCTACAAGACCATCGCCAAGCAGCTTGGTGAGAAGGTGACAACAGTTGATGTGATTATTCGCAAATGGAAGAAACAGAAAAGACCTGTCAATCTCCCTCGGCCTGGGGCACCATGCAAGATCTCACCTCGTGGAGTTGCAATGATTATGAGAACGGTGATACTTTTTTCCCTCACTGTAGGAGGTCCCGTACCAGGCAGAAATTGTATCTATTTTCACCCATGCTCTACGTCAAGTGTCCTTGAGCACTGCTAGTTTTAAATTAATGTTACTTTTGAGGAGATCATTTGACAATTATTTACTTGATTCTGTGCAGCTTTAAGTGAAGTGCAGAAATGCATTCTTGCCAATAAGTCTGTGGCCATATATCTTTCAAACTCACAGATCTGGTGGTGTAGCTGCACTGTAGCAGGACATTACCAGTTGCCTGTTGAGGTTATGAGTTCAAATTCCATTTAATGCTGAGTCCTAAGAGTTGTCACAGTACTAGATTCTTGACATATTTATATACTGGATTCTTGACATAGCTCTAATATATCTACTGCTGTACATATCACTCTTAGTATATCTTGTGTTAATTGCATTTGGATTACTGTTACATTGCTATTTGGTTGTTAATTGGATTCATTGCGCCATTTCTTGATTTATTTTACATTTTATATTATTGTTTACTGTTTGACATTTTACTGCATTGTTAAGAGCTAGTAACATAAGCATTTCGCTGCACCCGCTACAACATCTACTAAACTGTGTAGACTATGCAACCATTTATTGGTATTGATTAATGTACTGCATTGTTGAGGGAGCTAGCACATAAGCATTTCACTGCACCCTTTATACCTGCTGTAAACTGTGTATGTGACGAATACAATTTGATTCAATTTCTGATTTGACATGCGTTACTCGCCATGCATTTCTGTTTCTGTTTTCCCACCACCCACCCCAGCCTCCACCTGTTTGGGCTCTGCTTTTGTTTCGGTCAGGGGGATTGGTATAGCATACCTTGTTCACTGCCTGTAATTATTATTATCTTACATGATGTATGCTCTGGCAGTGAGATACCCTGGAGGAGCAGAGCCTAATGCCAAGCACTGCATGTAATCTTCGAATAAATGGCTAACGAATACGCAGTGTTTCCTGTCTGAAATAAAGGCTTCCCTTTTATAATTCCTTTGAAGGGCTGCTTCCTTTGAAGGGCTGGAGGATACTGTAATGTGTATGTCAGTAAGTCAGCCTTGAGAGTCAACTTGGATCAATCGAAATAGCCTTCACAGATTTGCAGCCTTCCACGGGGCTCTTTCGGTCCAGAGCGTTAAACAACAATTTACACATGGCATTAATATTTTCTGTCTGTTGTTTGTCTGTCTGTCTCAATTCATAACTACAACACAAAAGGTGACTGATCAATATGTTGGGCTCTGTCTTCCTTTTCCCACCTGGGGCCTCATTTATGAAATGTGTTTAGTTTTTTAAATGTTAATGTATGATCAGTTCTTAAAATGTGAGGAAACGCTATTCATACAATATTTATATACATGAATAATCATATATATAGATTTTGCATAAAATGTTGTGACATAAATGAAATGCATCTCTGTTAACGCAAATAAACTGCAGCCCCCACCAGCCTCAGCGCGTAGGGAGGCGTGGCTTGTGCAATATAAACACTGCAGTTCCACTCTTGAGCGCTCACAGTCGACTTCAAGACAGCATTATTTTTGTACCTGTTTTTGTACTTTAGGGTCATATTCTGTAGAGTGGCAAGGTCCTTCAACACTTGAGGTGTTGTTGTGAATTGGTTGACAGTCCGTATTTTTCTCGCCTTGTCTAGATCTGCAACGATCCAAGAAGCGCCCCGAACAAAAGCCAGTAAACTTGACATAGCCGATAGCTCTGCATGCATTGTTTCTAGATACATTTCAGTAGGGCTACAGTTTTATTGGTGAATAGTTAAACTGTGTCCATAACAATGAATAAATCTAAGTTAGCAATCGGACTTTTTGTCGCAGGTATTCTGACTGTAGTGTTTGGGACAATTATTGTATTCGTTGGACCAATCATCATTGACGAGCAAATAGTAAAGGTAAGTGACTGAGATTAAAGCTAAATATTGTAGCTTTTTCCTATAGTTTTATACTTCGGTTGTAGGCCTACGTCTAATGCAAAGGCATCGTTTTCTCCTGGTCAGTCACGACTAACGTATAGCGAAGTGCCTATAGTTAACCTGATTTATTACTCTTATTTCTATTTCTCGTGTTTTTTTTTCTTTGTACTTGACTTTTTTTTATTTGTTTTATATTGCTATTGATTACTGCGTTGTTGGGAAAGGCATTTCACTGTAGGGCCCATCAATGCCTATACCTACCATGTGGTTACACAGTCTGAGATTAATGCCATACATTTGTTTGGAACATTTCCTAGTTCTCTACAAGCCAGAACGTTGAATAAAATTTCATTTGAATGTTCTCCACTGGTTGCGGTCGGTACTTTTGTGGGTGTGACTTTGAAAAAAAACGATCCACAGGTAAGCATTATTACAATGACTTTTCCAAACGCTGGTACTGCCGTTGAGATTTATCAACTGGCACATGTGCAAAACCATGTAGGCTCTCGGTGTAAAGGCCTTAAGTAAAAATACTTTAAAGTAGTTTTTTGGGGTATCTGCACTTTAATATTTATATTTTACAACTTTTACTTCACTACATTCCTAAAGAAAATAATGTACTTTGTACTCCATACATTTTCCCTGACCCAAAAGTACTCGTTACATTTTTTAAATACTTAGCAGGACAGAAATTGTAAAATTCATGCATTTATCAGAGAACATCCCTGGTCATCCCTACTGCCTCTGATCTGGAGAACTCACTGAACACTCATGTGTCGTTTGTAAATGATGTTGGAGTGTGCACCTGGCTATCTGTACATTTGCTAATTATAAGGAATTTGAAATGATGTATACTTTAGTGTATTTTAGCAATTACATTTACTTTTGAAACTTAAGTAAATATAAAACCAAATACTGTTACTGAAGTGACACACTTTTACTTTAGTCACCTTAATAGAAAATATATTACATTTTACTCAAGTATGACAATTGGCAACTTTTTCCACTACTGTGTAGGCTAAATACCTGCAAGACTTCGGTTGGTATGTGTTGATGACTGTAGACTTATATCAGGGTTCCCCAAGGCGATTTTATTTGAAAACACCAGCAAATCAGCTCCAAGTGATTTTAATTTAGGAAATCTGTTCCAAAGTAGAACCACACATAATAGAGATGCATTACCAAAAGTATGTGGACACCTGCTCGTTGAACATCTCATTCCAAAATCATGGGCATTAATATGGAGTTGCCCCCCCCCCCCCCCCTTTTGCTGCTATAACAGCATCCACTCTTCTGGGAAGACTTTCCACTAGATGTTGGAACATTGCTGCGGGGACTTGCTTCCATTCAGACACGAGCATTAGTAAGGTCAGGCATTGATGTTGGGCGATTAGGCCTGGCCCGCAGTCTGCATTCAAATGTATCCCAAAGGTGTTCGATGGTGTTGAGGTCAGGGCTCTGTGCAGGCCAGTCAAGTTCTTCCACACCAATCTCGACAAACCATTTCTGTATGGACCTCGCTTTGTGCACAGAATTGTTATGAATGTAATTGTGCGCTGTAGCTTTTAAGATTTCCCTTCACTGGAACTAAGGGGCCTAGCCCGAACCATGAAATACAGCCCCAGACCATTATTCCTCCTCCACTAAACTTTACAGTTGGCACTGGACATTGGGGCAGGTAGCGTTCTTCTGGCATCCGTCAAACCCAGACTCGTCAGCTGGTGAAGCGTGATTAATCACTCCAGAGAACGCATTTCCACTGCTCCTGAGTCCAATGGTGGCGAGCTTTACAACACTCCAGCTGACGCTTGGCATTGCACATGGTGATCTTAAGCTTGTGTGCGGCTGCTCGGCCATGGAAACCCATTTCATGAAGCTCCCGACGAACAGTTCTTGTGCTGACGTTGCTTTCACAGGCAGGTTGGAACTCTGTAGTGAGTGTTGCAACCAAGGACAGATGATTTTTCAGCACTCCCCGGTCCCGTTCTGTGAGCTTGTGTGGCCTACCAATTCGTGGCTGAGACGTTGTTGCTCCTAGACGTTCCACTTCACAATAACAGCACTTACAGTTGACCGGGGCAGCTCTAGCAGGGCAGAAATTTGACGGACTGACTTGTTGGAAAGGTGGCATCCTATGACGGTGCCACGTTGAAAGTCACGGAGCTCTTCAGAAAGGCCATTCTACTGCCAATGTTTGTGTTTTTTTGCCTGTGTATATGTTGTCCAAAAATTCTACCCACAAAAGGACGAAATCAGCAGACAACAGGTGGTTTACACTAGATAGCCAATTCTGACTGTGGCTGTGCTATCGTAAAAATGTATGACAATAAAATTTGTTTTTGTTTTTAAAGGTTCAATATAGTAATCTATACTGTATATTATTTGATCTGTTCTTTATCGATTGGTTTTGCCCCACAACTTCCCCTAAATGTTAGGCTAGTTCTTTCTTGATCACGTGGCGCAGTGGTCTAAGGCACTGCATCGCAGTACTAGCTGTGCCAGATCCTGGTTCGAATCCAGGCTCTGTCGTAGCCGACTGCGACCGGGAGACCCATGGGGCGGCGCACAATTGGCCCAGCGTCGTCCAGGGTAGGGGAGGGAATGGCCGGCAGGGATGTAGCTCAGTTGGTAGAGCATGGCGTTTGCAACGCCAGGGTTGTGGGTTCCATTCCCACGGGGGGCCAGTATGAAAAATAAAATAAATAATGTATGCACTCACTAACTGTAAGTCGCTCTGGATAAGAGCATCTGCTAAATAACTAAAATGTAATGTACCTTTATGCAGTATTATGCATGATATTCAGCTCTAAGTTCCTGGTTGATAAACCTAAGAGAATATATAAATGATATGACATCTTAAATGATTGATATGAACGTGCATATTGGAACCAGTGCTACGGTCAGATGACATGAAAATAGAGGTCTTTGGCCACGCAGACCAGTGGTGGGTTTGCCGTGGGAATAAGGATGCAGAAAGAAAATAACCCCATATCTACTGTAAAATATGGTGGTGGATCTAATGTTATGGGGCTATTTTGCTTCCACTGGTCTTGGGTCCCTTAAGGTCAACGGCATCATGAACTTTACCCAGTACCAGGACATTTTACCCAAAAACCTGGCTGCCTCTGCTAGGAGGCCAAAACTTGGTCGCAATTGGATCTTCCACCAAGACAATGGCTCCAAGCACACATTAACAAAACCCACAAATTAATGGGTATCTGACCACAAGAATCAACATTTTGCCATGGCCATAAGTCTCTTGACTTAGTTGAACCCCATTAAAAACCTGTGGTTTGAATTGTAGAGGGCAGTCCATAAGCGCAGACAAAGGATTAAGGATCTGGGAAGATTATATATGGAGGAATGGTCCAAGATCCCTCCCAATGTAATCCCCAATTTCATAAAACATTTTAGAAAAAGGCTCAGTGCCATTATCCTCAAGGTGAGGTATTGAAAACGGGGAAACAATTTACGTATGTGATTCGTATACAAATGTAAGCAAGGTTTGAAATGATGTTTTAGTCAAATATTATATCAGTTTGGGCTTCTTGCGGTCAATTTGTATTCTACAAATTATTTGTAATTATTTTCCGGCCCCCTGACTATCCGCTCAATAAAATATATTGTTGTAATCGTCACTAGCTACCACAGCCACAATGTTATAAACCCCACCTATTTCTACAATTTCTCTTAAATCTGACACGGGCCTCCCTGCTAACCTTATGCCTAAGCCTAGCAAAAATATAAATGCAACATGCAACAATTTCAAAGATTTTACTGATTTTACAGTTCATTGAAGGAAATCAGTCAATTGAAATAAATAAATTAGGCCCTAATCTATGGATTTCAGGAGGGCATAGGAGCCAGGCCCAGCCAATTAGAATACGTTTTGCCCCACAAAAGAGCTTTATTACAGAAATAAATACTCATCAGTTTCATCAGCTGTCCGGGTGGCTGGTCTCAGACAGTCCCGCACGTGAAGAAGCCAAATGTGGACATCCTGGACTGGCGTGGTTACAAGTGGTCTGCGGTTGTGAGGCCGGTTGGACTTACTGCCAAATTCTCAAACTGTTGGAGGCGGCTTATGATAGAAACATGAACATTCAAAATTCTCTGGCAACATCTCTGGTGGACGTTCCAGCAGTCAGCATGCCAATTGCACGCTCCCTCAACTTTAAACATCTGTGGCATTGTGTTGTGACAACTGCACATTTTTAGTGCCTTTTATTGTCCCAGCACAAGGTACACCTGTGTAATGATCATGCTGTTTAATCAGCTTATTGATATGTCACACCTGTCAGGTGGATGGATTATCTTGGCAAATGGGAAATGCACACTAACAGGGATGGAAACAAATTTGTGCACAACATTTGAGAAATAAGCTTTTTGTGCATATGGAACATTTCTGGGACCAGCACTTTACATGTTGCGTTTATATTTTTGTTCAGTATATTGTTTCCGATCCTGACATACAGAAGCCCCAGCCAGAAGGGAGCCCTGTGCAATGCATGTTTTACGTCACACAGTTTATAGGCCTACTGTACGTCTTGCTTTCCCAAGATGTCTCTCCTGTTTTTAAGGATGATTCTGCCAAAACCAATTCCCCCTTGGGGATAATGATACTTTCTACTGCTACCACTATCCTTTATTACAAACACTGGTTCAAATGACTCTGGTTGGCACAGAGTACTGGCAACCACATAGTTATGGGTTTGGTTCCCACGTGGGATCACAAACGCTGAATACGAGTGTCAACTGCCAGTGATCCCATCCTGCAGAGAAGAACAAGCTGTCGTACTGCACACCTTGTATATTATTATGTGTATATGTTATGTATAATAATATGCCTTTTATCATTATTCTCTCAGAACTTAGTAATAGACCCTAAGAATGAGATGTCCTACACCATGTGGAAGGACATCCCTGTCCCCTTCTTCATGTCTGTTTACTTCTTCAACGTCCTCAACCCCACCGAATTCCTGGCGGGAGAGAAACCCATGGTGGAGCAGAGAGGACCCTATGTATACAGGTAGGCTTTCACACCTGACCTTTAACCCGTGACCTATATAACCTCTAACCCAGGGTTTCTTAAACTATGGGTCGAGACCCAAAGTGGGCCCTGGGCGTGTGAGGCAGGCCACGAGATATGAGAATATATCTATATTCACACAATTTCGACTTAATTTGGCTTGTTGAAGGATGATTTGGGTCACGGGAGGACGGTCAATTTCTCATTTCGGTCTCGAATTGAAAAAGTTAAAAAAAGCTCTAACCCTTTTCTTAAATGAAATGTTTTGACATTTTAGTAATTTGGCATACACTCTTATCTAGAGCGACTTACAATAAGTGCAATTCTCTTAAACTGGCTAGGTGAGACGACACATCACAGTCGTATGAAGTACATTTTCCCTCAGCAAAGTATTTATCAGCAAAGTCGGTGCTAGTAGGAAAAGATAAGTGCCTTTTTTTTAAACCGATGACCTATGGTGGAGAGGACCCTTTCTACACTCCTAACCTAATTGCTTATCATTAGGCCTACCTCTAACCCATAGTAGATTAGAAAGCACCCCAAGTGCACCTTATCGGGCGAAAGGTAATGGCGTGGGTTTTGAGAGCTGAGGTGCAGCCTATCCAGCCATGACGCACCGTGCCCATGGAACGAGAGATGTGCCAGTGAATTTCGTATTTAGAAATATTTAAAAAACGCTCCTCCAAACTATTCCGTCCTCCTATAATGCCATATCAACGGCAGATTTTTTATTTTTTAAACTGCCTCGCACATGGGCAACGATACAATTGACAGTAGCCTAGTATTTTGTATAGACGTGTGAATGTTACGCGTAAAGACATTTAGCCCTACGTGTGTACACAGTGCCATGGAATGAGAGAAGTGATTTATGATATCATGCTTCTGACCCCATCCTATTTGGAAATATTGTTGTTTTTAAGTAACTTTGCTTGTTTTCTGTTTTTATATGATGTAAAAACCAAGCCCTCCATAGGCTACCCTTACCCTAGGCTACAATAATGAAGGCTGATTCAACAGCAGTGTGTCGTATCTTCTTCTTTTTCTCAAAATTGTATTTGTATTTTATTTTTACCCCCTTTTCTCCCCAGTTTTGATCTTGTCTCATCGCTGCAACTCCCCAACGGGCTCTGGAGGCGACAGTCGAGTAATGCGTCCTCCAAAACAAATCCCGCCAAACCGCGCTGCTTAACACCCGCCTGCTTAACCCGGAAGCCAGCCGTACCAATGTGTTGGAGGAAACACCGTTCTAGTGACGACCGAGGTCAGCCTGCAGGCGCCCGGCCCGCCACAAGGAGTTGCTAGAGCGCGATGAGCCAAGTAAAGCCCCCCGGCCAAACCCTCCCCTAACCCGGACTACGCTGGGCCAATTGTGCGCTGCACTATGGGAGTGCCTTAGACCACTGCGCCACTCGGGAGGCACGTGTCGTTTCTTTTTAATCCTGGCTTTGCAAAGTAGCCTATCCATAAAATATGTTTACGGTCTATTCATCAGAGTGCCTTGAATTAAATATATATGGCACATCCTAAAACATATACACACACACGCCTACCTGCATACTTAATTTCGCTTGTTCAAGTATCCATCCCCATCTCCAAAGAGCGCTTCTCATCTAGTTACCAAAGACTCGCTCCTCCAAACGTATTTAAATGATTCTGTCCTATAATAGAGTATCAATGGTAGGCCTAGGCATCTTTTGCTTATTGAGAATGTGCCTCACACATACAATACAATTTACGGGAAACTAGTATTTATTAAAATTTTAAGAGAAGTGCGATGCATGAAGACGTCTCGGCTCGTTGAAGCCAATTACAACAATGTTGTCTGCCAACACTCTAAACATAGCAAGTGTTTCCGCAATAGTCTATTACTCGTTACTGTAGCCTATGCTATTTAATAAACTTTGTAGTATCAATCCACAATGGAACAGGATGAGGAAAAGACCATCAACAGAACTTGGGGGGGGGGGGGGGTGCTGCATACTAACCAAAAACAGGGGAAATCACACAGGCACAGGGAGATGATCAAGTAAGGAAGTAGCTATACTGCACCAACCCGTTCTAACAAATTATTGTGAAATTGACATAACTTATGCGAAATTCGTGTCCACCACACGATTTTGTAAACCTGCATGTCAATCACAGATAAAGACAGTAGGTTACTTAAGACAGAAACGATATGAACCAAGCACAATTGTATTGATTTTATTTCCGTTTCTCTCGGACACTGCTCTTGATGGGATCACTGCTCTTTATTAAGCTTTATGTATATGTTTGTATACGTTTCTCTCGTAACCCCATTTTCAAATCAGGTGACCCCTAGTTTGGGAAACACTGCCCTAACCCTAAACTAGCATGTTGCCTAACCTTAACCCTTAGCTAGCATGTAACAATTTAACACCCCAAAACTGAACCTTAACCCCTAGCCTAGCTAAATGTAACTGAAAATTGGTTGACACAATTTACTTTAGAAAATCGTGTGGTAGTTTCTTTTTCACGATATTCTATGTTGGTGTGTTGACTGCACTGCTGTACGTTTGGAGAAGGGTGCAATTGCGGCCTGCAGTTTGGGGCTTTCCTGCATGTGGGCAATCCTGCATCTGCAGGAACACCTCTTTATACGTCTATTGGTCCATTTTTAAGCTAGGACCCCGGTACACATGTGGGAGGCGGGGGCCCTCCAGTACAGTAGGTGGCGGTAATACACCATAACGTTTGATACAACCGCTGATAAACCCCACAGAAGAAGAGGCAGGGGCGACAACGCCAGTAGCTAGCTAGCTAGGAGAACGGTCGATGGTGTCCTTCGCCCCCGCCTGATTTGCAGGTTGTAGTTCAATAGTTCACAGGCAACCGTGCGAATGTTCTAGGTCAATGAGGCCATTTCATACCTCTGTCACTGAGTTTCAGGTTAATGGCTGTAGTTTAGTGCCAGCTGTGAGACCCAGAGCCCCGTGGGGCTAAATGCTCAGCAACCCAACAGGAGCTCCAACGAACAGTATTCTTCTCATCCTTTCACCCTAGGAGTGAGGGATGAGGAGGGCATTTCTCCATCATTCACCTGGGGGGGTAGAGACTCAAACCCTATTCGAGGGGCTCCTCTCTCCTCCCTCTCGCTTTCTCTCTCACTGTCTCTTAGCCTCTGTCACCCCTGGGTCGTTCCATGTCATTTCAGCAAGCCATGACACCCACCATCTTAGGTTGTTCTGAAATTGTTTCTGGAGTTAGAAACAGATAAGATTAGCGTTCTTGAAATGTTTTTTTGTCAAAATATCATTTGATCTCTGGGACATTAAGCCAAATTGGTCATTTTAATTTAAAGGATTCATATAATATTCCATAAATATAGTACCTAACATCCAATTTGGACAGAGTATTGTTTCTTCGTCTTATGTAATGTTCTCAGTGAATTTGGTGATATTTAGTTTCCCGTTCAGAGAAATTAGTATTTGAAGTTAGGTTTGTCACGTCCTACATCCTGCTTATTACCAGGTTTTGACCATTTCAACAAAATGTTGCAGGAATACTAATTTTATCTGTTTTCTAACATAAACGATTTCAGAACAATCAGATGGTGGGTGTCAATCTTCTTTCTTGATCTTTTTGAGGTGGAATGACTATTGGATAATCTGTACCCCTTTCCGTATGGATCTTGCCTCTTTCACCCTATAACGTATCCAGTTTCTCTGTTCTAGGACTACACAATTGAATTTGCATCTGTGCAATATTCATATCACAAGCAGCACAGTTCCTCCTCCTCGCTGTTAGATTCACTATGTTTGCATGCTGTTCTGTTAGGTCAAATGCAGTCAACCAATTGTTCCAAACAAGAACGATGCTGCGTTCCACTTTGCTTCTTAATAGAAGTCATTCTATTTCTATGATTAAAACAATTCACCCAAATGTTTGGATTTATATCGCACCAAAAAATGTATATTGCAATATTTGGTTAAAAAAAAAATCTATTACCTTTTTTTCCCCATATCGTGCAGCCCTATCTTCCTTCTCGCTCGACCTTTCCTCCCTTTCTCTTTATCATTGAACAACTTATGTCTTCTTAGAATTTCTACCCTGTTTTCATCTCAGTAAGCTAATAGGAACCAGTGTCAGTGGAATGTCCTTCATTGTTAATAAGAGGACCTAAAAACTGAGATGCTCTACCCCTGCAAGTGAACTCTCTATCCCCTTTCTCTGTTTCCTCTGCTTCTCTTTTCCCTATCAGCTATTCATTCAGATCTCCAGTCATCTTAACTATTAGTAGTCTATAAACCCTTTATAATGTTGTAAAGTGTCTATCCATTTACATATACTGTCAGTTGGAGGTTGACCTGGGTTTTGTGGTTGTGTGTTTCAGGAAGCGTATTCAGAAGCAGAACATCACGTTTCATCCCAACGATACAGTGTCATATCTTGAATACAGGAGCTACTTCTTTGAGCCCAGCATGTCAGTGGGCAATGAGTCAGATGTGGTCACCATCCCCAACATGCTGGTGTTGGTAAGACTGCACTGCTGAGTATATATATACACACACACACTTTTAATACGAACTGGACTCCCATCTCTTTGCCCCCCTCTCATCTCTCCCCCACTTCATCCCGTTTCTCCCCCCTCTTTTCCCTCTCTCCCCTCTGTCTCCCAGGGTGCGGCGGTGATGATGGAGAACATGCCACTCGGAGTGCGTCTGTTGATCAGCACCACCTTTAAAGGTTTTAAGGAGGGACCATTCCTCACCAAGTCTGTAGGAGAGCTGATGTGGGGCTACGACAGCAAGCTGGTGGACTTCCTCAATAAATGGTTCCCTGGCATGCTGCCCTCCACCGGAAAGTTTGGCCTCTTCTCTGAGGTGAGTGAGCGGGTGGAGGAGATGAGAGCACAATGACCGGAAGTCTATAGGTACAGTAGCAAATGCTAGCGTACCTTTAGACTTCCAGTCATTGCACTAACGCTAGTTAGCATTGGCTCGCAAAATTACCTCGTTCTTCCTTCACACTGCACGCAGATACATTCAAACGGTATTCACTAGTTCATCTGACTCTGAGTATGTAGAAAAACAATTGCCAGGATCTCACAGTATCCCTTTAATGCTTGATCTAATTGAATTGAGGCCTCAGTCAGGCTTTGAAATTATGTAGTGCATGGGCAGTTTCCTCTTATGTAATTCACTGACAGACCTTAAAGATGCTGTATCTCCCGAGTGGCGCAGTGGTCTAAGGCACTGCATCGCAGTGCTAGCTGTGCCACTAGAGATCCTGGTTCGAATCCAGGCTCTGTCGTAGCCGGCCGCGACCGGGAGACCCATGGGGCGGCGCACAATTGGTACAGGGTAGGGTAGGGGAGGGAATGGCTGGCAGGGATGTAGCTCAGTTGGTAGAGCATGGCGTTTGCAACGCCAGGGTTGTGGGTTTGATTCCCACGGGGGCCAGTATGATTTTTTTAATTTTTATAAAGAATAATGTATGCACTAACTGTGTAAGTCGCTCTGGATAAGAGCGTCTGCTAAATGACTTAAATGTAAAGAACTATTTATAACCTGTCAGAAATGTCCAGTTGATCAACTATGTTAGGTAGGTAAATTAGGCTAACCAGCTATCTATCTAAATCATGTAGTTATCCTGGCCAGAATATGTGCCCAGTGGCCTCATCCCCCAGGGGGCCCAAATATTTGATTTTGAGTCTGTTATCATATTGTTATATGGAGAGTAGTTAAGTGTTGGCACATAGATGGACACTACATGACCACTTCCACACTCCATCCCCAGAGGACATTTTGAACAGTTTGGGGTCGCATGGGTAGTGAGCAATAACTGTATATATGAATGGACAAAGCCATCGATCACGTGACACCTTTCATTCCTATGTGAAGACTTAACACCGCATTGACGCCAAATAAAGTCGGTTAAGATGCCATCTCATGGAGACATAACATGCGCAGTTTGAGGTAGTATAGAAGTACCCCTTATCTACATCCTGTTTTTAAGTTGGCTGTCTGGTTTTAGTGACTGGTTAAACGTCAATCTGTGTCTGTTTCTCCCATCAGTTCAACAACACCAACACTGGTCTGTTCACCATCCACACTGGGAAGGATGACATCCGGCTGATTCACAAAGTGGACTCATGGAACGGCCTGACCAAGGTGAGAGGTCTGGAGTTCAGGGATCACACAGCCATGACCTTTCACCTTTATGGTTGGGCTGAGAGCGGCGGTTAGAAGAAGCAGAGATGAGGAAAACCGATCTGGGTCTCTTGTAAAAGGACTTCATGAAAAACAATGGCAACTGTTACTGAGTGGACTTTTTTCACTTGGTCCACCCACCCCCTCAATGGTCCTGCTGCTCCCCCTATGGTCATTCCCCCCCACCACCTCTGGTCCTGCTGCTCCCCCTATGGTCATTCCCCCCCACCACCTCTGGTCCTGCTGCTCCCCCTATGGTCATCCCCCCCCCCACCCCCTCAATGGTCCTGCTGCTCCCCCTATGGTCATTCCCCCCCACCACCTCTGGTCCTGCTGCTCCCCCTATGGTCATTCCCCCCCACCACCTCTGGTCCTGCTGCTCCCCCTATGGTCATTCCCCCCCACCACCTCTGGTCCTGCTGCTCCCCCCTATGGTCATTCCCCCCCACCACCTCTGGTCCTGCTGCTCCCCCCTATGGTCATTCCCCCCCACCCCCTCAATGGTCCTGCTGCTCCCCCCTATGGTCATTCCCCCCCCACCCCCTCTGGTCCTGCTGCTCCCCCTATGGTCATTCCCCCCACACCCCCTCAACAGGCTTTACTCTGCCTCATCCCCAATGGACATTATTTATTCATCGCTGTCACAGTGGTTATGTATATACTGCTATTTCTATTGTTTTTATGACTATTTTTATTATTTTATTTCACTTAGTCCTGCATGTTGGAGCTCAAAGCCTAAGATTTTCACTGTACCCTGCAATCACACCTGCAACGTGACTATTCAACTCTGAATCTGACTCTCGGCTAAATAAATGAATATAAAAATCTAAAGTTTGACTTTAGTCAAATCCTGAATGAACTATTTTTTTTAAAAATTATTTCATGCTCTATAAAGAGAGCTCAATGTATAATGGATGGTAACCCTCTGTCTTTCTGTCTCTAGTTGACCAATTGGAAGACTCCCCAGTGTAACATGATCAACGGCACAGCAGGACAAATGTGGCCTCCTTTCATGACCAAAGAGTCCACACTGCCCTTCTACAGTCCTGACGCCTGCAGGTACAGACTCTCACTCACTCACACGCGCTCTCACACACACGCGCTCTCTCTCTCTCTCGGTTCTTTCTCTCGGTTCTTTCTCTCTATAGGTCTTTGGAGCTGGTGTACCAGCGTGAGGGGATAATGAAGGGGATTCCCCTCTATCGCTACGTGGCTCCTAAGACTATGTTCGCTAACGGCTCAGACTACGCTCCCAATGAGGGCTTCTGTCCCTGCAGACAGTCTGGCCTCCTCAACGTCAGCAGCTGCAGATCCAGTGAGTGCAGACACAGATACATATACAATCCCCACATATTTATTTGGACAGTGAAGCTAAAACTTGTAGTTTGGCTCTATACTCCAGCATTTTGGATTTGAGATCAAATGTTTCTTATCAGGCGACGGTACAGAATGTCACCTATTATTTGAGGGTATTTTCATACATATATTTTACCGTTTAGAAATGAAATCACTATATCTAGTCCTGCCATTTGAGGAAGTCATAAGTATTTGGACAAATTCTCTGAAAGTGTATTAAAGTAGTCTAATGCTTAGTATTTGGTCCCATATTCCTAGCAAGCAATGACTATATCAGGCTTGTTACTCTACAAACTCGTTGGATGCATTTGCAGTTTGTTTTGGGTTATGTTTTGCCCAATTGGAACTGAATGATGACTGGAATAATTATTTGAGTAGATAAGCTGTTTCTGAGGTCACATTTCAGGGTTGATTTCCATATACCCTTTTAGTCATGACCCACATACCTTGTCTGGTAAACAGACTGGTGGGGGAGGTATGACACACACACACACACACACACACACACACACAGAGGAGCCATGCTGCAGTAGTAGTAATAATAATAATAATAATAATAATAATAATAATAGTAATAATAATAATATGCCATTTAGCAGACGCTTTTATCCAAAGCGACTTAGTCATGTGTGCATAAATTTTTTTACGTAGGGGTGGTCCCGGGGATCGAACCCACTACCCTGGCGTTACAAGCGCCATGCTCTACCACTTGAGCTACAGAGGACCACAAACACATTGAGAAACACTTAGGCATGAGACAACGCCTCATGATTCATGACACTTATGTTGCCAATAGCACCCCATAGAACATGACATCTCAAGATAACATGAGCACTTGGTGCTGAATTGTAGCTTGAGAAATGCCCACACACTATAGAAATGTTTTATATAATCATGCATCAATGTCAAGGGGAGATTTAAACCAGGGATGGGCAACTTTGATGGGTGGGGGCCACAAAAAATCTGAACTCATCACGATGGGCCACAGTGGCTCTGGGGTCTGTGTACCCACATCCATACCCACACATGCAGTCAGAGCCGGCCCTAGGCTTTTGGGGGCCCTAAGTGAAATTATGTTGGCCCCCTTGAGAGCAAAACATTTTTACAGCGGAGAGAACATTTACATTTTAGAGTTAATTTACTGTAATTCTACAGATTTTGCAATTGGGTGTGAAGAAAATATTGCAGTTTGCGGCAACATTGTGCCATGGGCGGAAAGAAGATTTAGCAATTGGTTACATCCCCCAGCAATAAAACCCTAACAAAGGGGAACTAACAGAGTCATTGACAACCACCAAAACGAAACAGGTGATTTTAGGAGGGGTTCTGAAAGGTGTCCACTGAATGTTGACTAGCAACAACAACTGGGACCTAAAAGACACCCACCATGAGCGGCCACTCAATTTCCCCAAGAAGAGGCAAACAAAAGTAAAACCCACACCGAACTTAAAGACAGGAAGCAAACCAAAAAGTGGAGCAAAATGAAAACCGGGAAGATCAGATAAAGGATTGTGTTCTTTTAGAAATCAAATGGGGGGGCAACTAAGATGTTAACCCTCCTCATCTCTCAAGACACCTGGAGTACTGGGCCAGCCACTCTTAAATATCACCTGGGCCAGCACAGATGAAACACCTTCCCACTAACGAGATGACAAACCAGCACAGGTGTAACACATACTGACTAATGAGGTGACACCAATCGGTGCGCTAACGTCCAACCTCGAAATATAAATGGAAAAAACCAAAGCCTGTAACAAATTTGATGCAATGCTACACATTTTGCCATAGGGTGGAGAGAAATGTTTGCAGTTTTCAATATGATATCTGAGTGAGAGTGATTTTAAAAAATCAAGTGGGGCCTGACTGTCTAATTCGACTATGATTACTACAAGTTTAGATAGTCGAGCCGGCTAACTTACACTTTATTTTTTTTGATTATTTTTTTTTGCTGAAATGGGCTTAATTGAGTGACTGACATGACAAGAGAAACTGCTGATGCACAACCAAATTTCAAAATGGCGCTTTGTGTATTCTACTATTTTAACTCAGAATTGATCCGCGTGCCTAAAAAAGGTGGGCTGCCAGTTGCCCATCCCTGATTTTAAACAAAGTTCAAAGTTAGGATTCAACCTCTTGTCTCACAAATACTTGTTACAAAGGAAATGTATGATAATGTTGATGATAATAGTGGTGATGATGATGATACAAGTAAAGGTAATGTTGCGTTAATATTGTGTTCTAGACTCGCCAGTGTTCATTTCCCACCCCCACTTCTACAATGCTGACCCTGTGCTGCTGGACTACGTACAGGGACTTCAGCCTACTGAGGACGAACACGGACTATTCATAGACATCCACCCTGTGAGTCTCTCTCACACACACACACACACACGCTATCCTGAAGTGGAACAGCTGTATTAAGAGGACATCCCATTTTGTTCTAATAGATTCATCTCTTAGATCAGATTAGTGGACGGAAATGCGCACAACAAACAAACAAACAAAAGCCTTTATGATCTGTTAGCCTGTCAGAAACCCACTGGTCTTTGACCCTATCATCCAGAGATAAGACTGCTCCAATGTGGCTCTCCAGGTTCGGAGTCAATCAATTAACCCCTGATCTACACCCTGATGGGTTTTATTTAGATGACAAATGTCACACCTCTGTCAGATTCAGTTGAGTTCCAGTTAGATTTGCTGTAACAGTTTTTAGACTCACCGGTCTGTCTCGGGTGCATAAGTGTTTCAAGACCGTGGTGGTGGTCTTTGCCACAGTCACCATTTGGTGTCAAAAAGGTCGAATTAAATGTCATTGACTTGATTGACAATGCTCCATATACCTGACAGGCAGGGTGCCACATCGTCTGACAGCCTGAAGCATCTGTGCCAAGTTTTCCCCTATTATAGACACGTGTGTGTGTGTGTGTGCTTTAAATTTTTTGCGAGTTGGGCCCATTCACATTAATGTTATAAACGTATAACTCAGAGGCAGTAAAAGTGAGGCCATTTCTCCTTATCTAAATTGATTGTGTAAACACATCTGATCTCATGGCTGTAGCGAATGTACACTGTAAAGCCTGTCCTTGAGGCAATCACCTGACAATAGATAGAGAAGGCCATAGCAATTTCTTAGAATTATCCTCTAATTTTAGGTAAGCTAATATTTCTTGTCCCCTGGCTGAGGGGAAAATGTTGTCTTGGACATTCATTCTCGTATTTCAACAATTTGTGTTCCATGGGGACTCCTATGAGTTCAGAGGCAGGACTCATTCGTAGAAAAACGTTAATATCCACTCTGAATGTTTGTTGCAAACATTGTGATCTTCGTCAGCTGTAATCACAGAAAGCTTGACGAAAAGACACTTGTGGGAGCAGCCAACGAGAGTAGATATCATCCCTTTTCTTTTTCCTTTTTTTTTTTTACAGTTCTTTTTTTGTCCCTAACTCCTGTGCCAACTTGGATATAGTGTACAGGCTGTACTATACTCTTTTCATAGTACATTTTTACATTTGTCATTTAGCAGACGCTCTTATCCAGAGGGACTTACAGGCACAAATAGGGTTAAGTGCCTTGCTCAAGAGCACATCGACAGAATCTTACCCTGGTTTTCTCGGGATGCCTTGCTGTAGAACGGTGACCATAACAAGATGAGTTGGTCTGTCGGACCATAGGGGTGAAAACCATTAATGACCAGGGTTGCTGGGGTCCTTAATTATAAAGAGGGCTTTTCTGTGGCAGCGGTTAGTGTAAATGTCCTCTATAGATGGCAGCTCTGTCCGTACGTTTTTTTGGTGTCGTCTTCACAATCCTCGAAGGCCTGGTGGTCATGTACGTGGTTTAGGTTGCCTGCCATATGGTAATTCACCCAGTCAATGGGAACTTTTATAGTTTCATCAAGTCTCTGAATGTTAAATTCTCTCGAACAGACATTAGCAGCTAAAGATCAAAATGTGTGTTAATAGTAAACTGTCTGGCACAAGACCTTTTTAGCGATAAGCTAATTGGAGTTGCAGCATTACTGTACTAGGAAATCGGTATGATGATGGTGTTATGATACCACTAAACCAGATTGCTGTTATATATAGATAAGCCCAGATGTGAGGGTAAGGCTGTGATTGGTGCTTTTGGTGAGCCTGTACTGTTGCTGGCCAATACACTGGAACTATAATTATTGGCACTGTGTCGTAATATGACTGAAGGTGATAAGATGCACATATATCCGTACAATACATGTGAGCTGCTAGTATTTGCACCATTTTTATTTGCCCCAATAAAGTTGGGTTTATTATTGCTGACTAAGCAAGAATCGCACACTTGTTTTAGTTAACTCTCTGCTATCACGGCAATTATAAAAGCATTGCAGACACACAAAGACTGCTATAAGCTTTGTCCGGTAATTGAATACGTGACCGGTCTGTTGGTGTGTAGCAATTAAGGGGGGAACAACCACAGCAGGGTTTGAACCAGTCACCTTTTTGGGTCCAGGGCTAATGTGTTGGCGGTGTGCTACCAACTGTGCCAATTAGGGCCAGATCGCTTGGTAGTTTACTTCCATACAAGGAGGCATCGTTATCGAAGTGAAGACGTTATGTGGTTCATAACTGCTGCTGTAACGATTGGCAGTGGGATCAGACGGGGACAGTTGAGCAATGCATACCTCCAGGAGGGTGAGGATGGAGAGCGGAAGGCTCCCCAATGTGTGATTAACCATCTGGGGTTGGATCACAGCTTGATGCCTGATGGTCCCCAGGGTCCGATCCACAGCCCTGGGCCACAACTCTCCTAGAACTGTGTGTGTATGTCAAATCAAATGTTATTTGTCAAATGCTTCATAAATAACTGGTGTAGACTAAAAGTGAAATGCTGACTTATGGGCCCTTCCCAACAATGCAGAGATTTTATTTTAGAAATAAAGTAATAAATACACGATTAACGATAACTTGGGTATATACACGGGGTACCAGCACCAAGTCGATGTACAGGGGTATGAGGTAATTGAGATGTAGATATGTACATATACACTACATTACCAAAAGTATGTGGACACCTGCTTGTCGAACATCTCATTCCAAAATTATGGGGATTAATATGGAGTTGGTCCACCCCTTTGCTGCTTTAACAGCCTCCACTCTTCTGGGAAGGCTTCCACTAGATGTTGGAACATTGCTGCGGGGACTTGATTCTATTCAGCCACGAGCATTAGTGAGGTTGGACACTGATGTTGGGTGATTAGGCCTGGCTCGCAGTCAGCGTTCCAATTCATCCCAAAGGTGTTTGATGGGGTTGAGATCAGGGCTCTGTGCAGGCCAGTCAAGTTCTTCCACACCGATCTCGACAAACCATTTCTGTATGGACCTCGCTTTGTGTACTGGGGCAATGTCATGCTGAAACAGGCAAGGGCCAGATGATTTTTACGCGCTTCAGCACTCTGCAGTCCTGTTCTGTGAGCTTGTGTGGCCTACCACTTCGGCTGAACTGTTGTTGCTCCTAGACATTTCCACTTCACAATAACAGCACTTACAGTGGACCGGGGCAGCTCTAGCAGGACAGAAACTGAGCTCTTCAGTAAGCCCATTCTACTGCCAATGTTTGTCTATGGAGATTGCATGGCGGTGTGCTCGATTTTTATACACCTGTTAGCAACGGGTGTGGCTGAAATAGCCGAATCCACATACTTTTGTATGTATGTAGTGTAGGTAGGGATAAAGTGACTAGGCAACAGGATAGATAATAAACAGTAACAGCAGTGTGTGACGAGTTAGTGCAAAAAGGGCCAATGCATATAGTCCGGGTAGCTATTGGTTAAGTATTTAGCAGTCTTATTTTTTTACATTTTAGTCATTTAGCAGACGCTCTTATCCAGAGCGACTTACAGGAGCAATTAGGGTTAAGTGCCTTGCTCAAGGGCACATCGACAGATTTTTCACCTAGTCGGCTCGGGGATTAGAACCAGTGACCTTTCGGGTACTGGCACAACGCTCTTAACCACTAAGCTACCTGCCGCTCTTATGGCTTGGGGGTAGAAGGTGGGTGGGTAGGGAACCGGTGTGTGTGTGTTAGTGACAGACCCTGACTGTAACTAAAATCCAGTTTAGATAACGACAGATCAATGACCTCCCTTCAGTCTGTTTTCAGTCATTATCTATTGATTTATCTGTTAATGTTCGCACATGTAACATCGCATATGAATGTAACCTAGAGATATACTGAGGTGTTAGCTAATGAACTCAGTCGAATGTGATTTAGCTGTCTGTGTTATGGATATAGGCAGTAAAACTTTAACATGACAATGGTGGGGAAATCGCTCTTATTGACCAAAGTCCCATGTTATCCAGTTATATTAGGGCTGAGACTTGCCAGAGACCTCGCGATATGATATTGTCACGATACTTAGTTGCTGAAATATATGTATTGGAATTCTATATGTCATTGCTATTAGAAGTTTCAAACATGTTGCTCACTATGTCTGCTGCAGAGGTACAAGGAGATTGAGAGAATTAGTTTTGATCAGTTGGCTCACTATTTAACCCTGTGAGACCCAAACAGATTCAAATGAGGGGGGGGGGGAAACATTTATTACAATTCAGAAATACTTGTAATAAGCTTCTGATTATAAAAATAATCACTGTGAATTTCAAGTTTGTTTAACAATTTGCTGGAATCGTTTCAAAAATGTAACATTGGAATTCAATGGTAGAAAACATTTGGTTAAAAACTGTGTGAAATTATATTAAAATGGATCAAAAGCATTTACATGCGATGGTAAATATTGTGTAATGGAATATACAATGACCAATCCAAATGTTAGAATCAAAAATACTATCAATTTTTTTTTAAATAAACGTGTTTTTTTTCGTTTTCTAGGTATGGAGAACAGCTAATTTACTTTAGTAATATTTGGTTGACCTTTCTGACTTAATTTGGAGAGCACCTTCTCTTACTGCTTTACCATTAAAATGAATGGTCTCATAAACCACAATTATTTCAAATGATGTGTAGAGGGTGCATGAAAGCTACTCTTGAAATATTTGGTTGTCCATATTTGCAGAATTTGGAAGGGAAACGATCTCTAACTTTGCTATCAATATATTAATGTGACCAATGTCTGTTTGGCAACCCTTTAAGCCCAATGGAGCATTTTTGCAACACTTACAAAACTGGCTCGGAATGTTTTGTTTCTGTAATTATTTGTATTTTTTAAGAGAAGACAAGAAAGCATATTTCAAGTCATGTATTTGCATGTATGACTTCCTACACAAGCTTGTGTAGGTGACCAGTGTGGTGTCAGATGAGTGGACAATTTTCCAATGTTTCAGAGGCTACCGATGCCACTAATCATACTGACACACAATTTGATTTGACTTATTTGTTGTATTTGTCACATGCGCCAAATACAACACGTGTACACCTTACAGTGAAAATGCTTACTTACAACCCCTTAACACTTATTTTTCTTAAAACTGCATTGTTGGTTAAATAAAAATTAACTACTAATTTAAGAGCAGCAGTAAAATAACAGTAACGAGGCTATATACAGGGGGTACAGGTACAGAGTCAATGTTCGGGGCCACAGGTTAGTCGAGGTAATTGAGGTAATATGTACATGGAGGTAGAGTTAAAGTGACTATACATAGATAATAAACAGAGTAGTAGCAACATAAACTACTAAGAGATATGTAGGCCTAATGAGATGCACTATGTAATGTTAGATATGTTTTTTGTTGTTGTTTAGGACCTGTACAGGGTGCAATTTAGGAAATGTATTTTTGCTAAGTTGCATCTCACAGGGTTAAAAAAGATGGAGAACAAGCAATAGGATGAAAAATACTGGAGTTTTGGTACAGCTGACTTGCCCTAGATAATGCTACCTACAGTAGAAAACATAATTGAGTTATCGATATATCGTCCAAAAATAATATTGTGACGTAATTATTGATTTGGAATTATAATTTTTTCCATCACTGTCATGTGATGCGACATAGGCAGGTATTGATGTTTCAGATGGGGTGAAAGATGACTCATGACTTAAGTTGTGAAAGTAGGCCGAGGGTAGGTGTCTGCTTGGACAACGAAAGCCTTGTTCACAATCACACTGCAGGCCTTTTTGCTGAAATGCGTTTTGGAATACTGACTGTGCAAACAGCAAGTTACAAGTGACCAAATCGGATTTATGTGTGTTCAAACTGCAGTCATTTGCTGACATGGCTATTTGCAAATGTATTACAAATTAAAAAATGAAATATCACATTTACATAAGTATTCAGACCCTTTACTCAGTACTTTGATGCAACTTTGGCAGTGACTACAGCCTCAAGTCTTCTTGGGTATGAAGCTACAAGCTTGGCACACCTGTATTTGGGGAGTTTCTCCCATTCTTCTCTGTAGATCCTCTCAAGTTCTGTCAGGTTGGATGGGGAGCGTCCGGGCTCTGGCTGGGCCACTCAAGGACATTCAGAGACTTGTCCCTGAAGCCACTCCTGCGTTGTCTTGGCTGTGTGCTTAGGGTCGTTGTCCTGTTGGAAGGTGAACCGTCACTCTGTCTGTACTTTGCTCCGATCCTGACTAGTCTCCCAGTCCCTGCCGCTGAAAAACATTCCCACAGCATGATGCTGCCACCACTACCATGCTTCACTGTAGGGATGGTGCCAGGTTTCCTCCAGACGTGATGCTTGGCATTCAGGCCAAAGAATTCAATCTAGGTTTCATCAGACAAGAGAATCTTGTCTGATGAAAGTCTTTAGGTGCCTTTTGGCAAACTCCAAGCGGGCTGTCGTGCCATTTTACTGAGGAGTGGCTTCCGTCTGGCCACTCCACCATAAAGGCCTGATTGGTGGAGTGCTGCAGAGATGGTTGTCCTTCTGGAAGGTTCTCCCATCTCCACAGAGGAACTCTGGAGCTCTGTCAGAGTGACCATCGGGTTCTTGGTCACCTCCCTGACCAAGGCCCTTCTCCCCTGATTGCTTAGTTTGGCCAGACTGCCAGCTCTAGGAAGAGTCTTGGTGGTTCCAAACTTCTTCCATTTAAGAATGATATGGCCACTGTGTTCTTGGGGACCTTCAATGCTGCAGATATGTTTTGGTACCCTACCTCAGATCTGTGCCTCGACACAATCCTGTCTCGGAGCTCTACGTACAATTCCTTCGACCTCATGGCTTGGTTTTTGCTCTGACATGCACTGTCAACTGTGGGACTTTTTTATATAGACAGGTGTGTGTGCCTTTCCAAATCATGTCCAATCAATTGAATTTACCTCAGGTGGACTCAATCAAGTTCTAGAAACATCTCAAGGATGCACCAGAGCTCAATTTCAAGTCTCATAGCAAAGGGTCTGAATACTTATTTAAATAAGGTATTTCCGTTTTTTATTTTTAATACATTTGCTAAAGTAAAATCTGTGTTTGCTTTGCCATTATGGGGTATATTGTGTAGATTGTTTAGGAAGAAAGTATTTAATCCATTTTAGAATAAGGCTATAACAAAATGTGGAAAAAGTCAAGGGGTCTGAATACTTTCCGAAGGCACTGTGTGCGCGCCCATCTCAGTGAACTAATCCATTGCTGAGGCCTAGACTAAAAGCCAATTTATGCTTGATTCGAAAATGTGGTCGGAGGCTCCATATGGAGGGTGTGACGCAATTGCGGAGCCTCCAGAGGCATGCAGAGGCCAAATTGAGCTCTGTACCGCATCGCCATGCGCCTCCCAAATTTGGTAACAATGCGGAGGGCTCTGTATAGCTACGCATTGAGATGATTGGTTGACGGTAGGTGGGGGCATTACATCCTGTATAAACACAAACTCACTTCCTTGACAACAGCTCTGCACTGCGCCGCGAAGCGCAAGAAGTATGAATGCCCTAACTTCTGCAGAGGCCATATCACTGTAAATGCTGCATGGCCAATGCAGACGTCAGATTGACCATGCGCCCAGATGCACAATGCACTTCTATCCCCAGAATATGCTCTCTCCCGCCAATTTGTGCACATTCATTGTGAATTGTTTGATTGTTAGTGTATATCAATCCCCCATTACATACATCACCAGTAGTACATTTACTGTTAATTCCTATAATTTCTAATCTGCAATGTTTGTTACTTTGGTTACGGTAATTTACAGCTGTGTCTGTCCCAAGCTCACTGGCAGGGAAACTCTGAGGGCCCAGAATATTGTAATACAATGTTGCAAGTTCGCTAGCGCAAGCTTCGGGCGTTACCAAAGTTAATAGTTGTTACAATGTTTCAAGTTTGTTGCAGACAGGCCATGTGTAGCCAATGATTTATAGGATATTTATTTTTATCAGGATATTTTCTACCTGCAGACTGCCATTTTTTTATTTGTTGGCATTATGTAGGCTATTTTTACATAGTTGGCAATATAAGTTATTTTTTAGGTTTATCATTTTCATTTAGATTTTGATAAAATGTTGATTAACCACATGACATTGACTTTGAGGTATGAAGACTAAGACTGTATATTAATTAAATGAAACTTTCACGAAAAATTGCATATGAAAACCATAACTGGCACGCAGATCGGTAGAAATGGTAAGATAAATTGGCATTCCACATGAGAAAGGTTGCTGACACCTCGTGTAGCCTATTACCGGCAACTTCAGGAGAGTAATGGCAGAATCTGCAAAAGCCAGCAGGAGTGGGAGGAGAATAGTTGGGTCAGGTTTTTTTTTCTTCTTCTTCTTCTGGTTATCTAGATCTCTGGCGCCCTCTTGAGGCATCAAACCGCAAGCTCAATGCATATAGTTGATTTTATTTTATATGGAAAATTCCAAGAATACCAATATTGTTTTTTTGTCGGGGACAGCCCTAAAAGCCTCAAAGGATGAGATGATCCAACTTTCAAAACTAGTGCTTTTTGGCTAGTCACGAGTCGGCTGGCTAGCTAGGTAGCCGTTTAGCTTTCTAGCACATTCAGTAATTTGTTTGTAAACAATTAATACACTAGCTAGTTAGCTACCACTTGTTCTTGTCAAACTGTCAACAGAGTATCTAGCAAGAAACAAGCTATGCCAAATAGCAGTCAAAAAACCACTTGAGGGCAAATAAGTCAGATATGACCGTTCGTAAGTTGCATGGCTAGGAATCAAACCACCTACAAAGGTGAAATATCTGATTCCATGTGCTTTTTGGCTGTTCCCTACGAGATTGCTGTGTTGGGACGCACTTGAATCCCTTCAAATGGTCTTCCCACCCAAACAAATCAATCACACCAGCTAGTGTTTCCAGCTAGGACCCAATCTTCAGCTGCTAGTGTGATCCATTAGGAAGTTTCCCCCACTAATGGATTCACTTCCTTAGAAGCATATAAACAGCTTTGACTGACTGACTACTGATCTATTGCTCCTGTATCTGTAATGACATATTCTGGCTACATAGGCAAATCTAACACTTATCACGTACTGTAGATTATGGGGAGATATTTCCAGTATGAAGTGCAGCGCAATGCAAACAGGACAGCAGGGCAAGGAGTGAAGTACAGTGGAGTGACCCGTATGTGAAGCGGGTATATATTTAACCCCTAATGAGCGCGAACCCATTAACTTCACCCATAACACATATCTGATATGGATTTACAATGTGTGTGTGTGTGTGTGTGTGTGTGTGTGTGTGTGTGTGTGTGTGTGTGTATATATACATTGTAAACCACCAAAAGGACATCCATCCAACTTGACACAACTGTGTGAAGCATTGGAGTCAACATGGGCCAGCATCCCTGTGGAAAGCTTTCGACACCTCGTAGAGTCCATGCCCTGACGAATTGAGGCTGTTCTGAGGGCAAAAGGGGGTGCAACTCGATATTAGGAAGGTGTTCCTAATGTTTTGTGCACTCGGTGTGTGTATAGATATCTCCCTCTCTCTCTGCAGGAGACTGGTGTGCCTCTGAATGTGTCTATCCGTCTGCAGCTCAACCTGTACATGAAGATGGTGTCAGGAATCACGTAAGGATAACCCCTAACCCTCAACCTCTCTGATTTATAACCCCTATCTATACCCCCAACCAATCACTCTTCATTTCAACATGTCTGTCACATGAGGACATCCACTTATCCCTGACCCTTGACCTTTAACCCCAAAGGCCAAAAAGCTGAAGGGTCCCATTCAATCTGGGCGTTTCCGTTGTTTATTTAGGATGTATTTGTGTGTATCTCCTGTGAGTGTCTGTCTGTCTGTCTGTCTGTTGCAGGGAAACGGGGAACATCTCAGAGGTGGTGATGCCCATGATCTGGTTTGAGGAGGTGAGTGATGATGGGTTCTCTTATCCCCTAACATGCTCTATACCTCTATACCCCACCAACACTCTCCTAATCTAACCAACACACACTCTATATCTCTCACCCATACCCCTTGATCAGCGTTTCTTAATCCTGGTCCTGGGGACTCAAAGGGGTGCGTGTTATATTTTTGCAAAAGCACTACAAACCTGATTCCACTAAGCAACTCATCAAACCTTTGATTAGTGGAATCAGGTGTGTAAAGCTAGGGCAAAAACAAAAATGTTCACCCCTTTGGGTCCCCAGGACCAGGATTAAGAAACACCGCCCTAGCGTATATAACCCTAACCCTTTTAACACCCTCATAACTCTGTCCACTCATCAGATTTGTGTTGTCTGTCTGTCTCGCTCTCGTAGAGTGGTTATATCGACGGTGCCATCCTGAAAACGTTCCACACTAACCTGGTGATATTGCCAATGGTGATGGTGTACATGCAGTACTGTTTCATAGGCCTTGGCCTGGCCACCATACTGGGAGCTGTACTGCTACACTACAGAGAGAAGGTAACGTCTGTACAGCACATGGACAACGCTCGCTGCCTGTGTGGATGAGAACGTTGTGTGTGTGTGTGTGACATTCTTTGCTTTGCATGGCATGCGTACTAAGTAATGTGACTCTTGCACAGTCCTGAGCAGCCCTCTGTTATCCACCAGAGAACAGAGACTCTTCCCACAGCCTCGGCTAACAAATCAACACACTGGTGCTCCCCTTTCTAAACAGCATCCAATCTCCCTCTGAGTATCAGTAGATTGTGATTTATACTGTACAGTGGTGCCACTTGGACACACACACGGTCCCACCCCCACCGCCTTAATCTCGTTAGGGAAATAATCTCGCTCGTGATTAGTCTAACATATGCCTTTGGATGAGTGTATTTTACATAGCGAACTCTATACATTAGCCAGTTAATTTGATAAAGACATTAACATAACTCTCAAGCCAATGCTAGCTGGTGTTAGCGCAATGACTGGAAGTCTATGGGTATATGCTAGCAGATACCAATAGACTTCCAGTCATTGGGCTAATGCTAGTTAGGATTGGCTCGAAACTACCTCTAACTTCCTTCGTACTGGACACAGAGACATAAAAATCATTGCCTCATTGCCAAAATCCTGAAGTATCCTTTTAAGAATCAAGTATGGGGTTATTTGGTGTATCAAGTCAGTGCTATGCACATTTCAAGGTTATTTTCCTTTTGGAACACAATGTTCCCCAGGGACAATAGACTGTACCCATAAGTACTGTATATGGTTATGGCATGCACACACAAACAAACAGCACGTACACAGAGGCATTTCAGGTCATGGCGTTATGACTAGTGTGGTGTTAATGATGCAGGGAATCAGTTGTCCTGTTTTTCTTTCTTGCAGGCATTGTTGAAAAAAGATCTGCCTACAGTGATGGAGAACCATTGGGTTGGTCCACACGTTAAACTGTTACCAATCACTCCAGAAAAGATGCCTCTATCATATCAATCAGAATAATGTGATAGTAATATGAATGTAAAATAATGATTTACCCTGACAGATTCTGATTGGCTTTGATTTTATCATAAGAACCCATCAGTAGGGAGGGATGGCCAACTTTGGTCCTTGGGGGCTGCTCTGTGTGCAGGCTTTTGCTCCAGCCAAGCGCTTACACACTACAGTGTTCATGGTCTTTAATCTCGACCATCATGAATTATAGTCTCTAGCTCTTTAGTCTAGTTCTGTTGGTCATTGAGATTGAAGACCGTCATTACTGTAGTATTAGCAGAACCAGGTGTGTGGAAGCTGGGTTGGAGCAAAAGCCTGCTCACACTGGCCTTCCCGGACTGGAGTTCTCCTGATCAGTAGGAGAAAGATGCGTATAAAGAGTGTCAGTTTCAGGCTAATTGTGTTACTGTATAAAGCTGATGTATCAGAGGAGTATGGGATCTGATCATCCCTTCTCAACTGGGTCAGGTGTCAATCAATCCAAATGTCACGATTGATTGGTCAATACTGTCTGTATGAGATGCGTCATTAACCAATCGCAAGAACCCTGGTTGTCCTGCATGCCCCGCCCTCAATCCATAGTCTTTCTCAGTTTTGAATCAGCATGAACACACACGCACAAACTGCAACAATGAAACTACACACTGCATGAACACACACACTCAGCACATGATTTAAATGACCCAATGGCTGAGCGACTAAATACTGCACTTCCTGTCTCTGATGTCAGTCAAATCAACCACCTGACAGCCAGTCAGTTTGGTCAATGATTTCCTGTAGCTCCTCTGACTGGCTGATTTAGTAAAGGTCTGGCTATCTTTTAGGCAACGGTTAGAGACCCAGTAAACAGCTCAGATGCCCACAAACAGATGGACAAATGTATCATGAATGACACAGGTGGGTTTCAGGCTGACATACACTCTCACCTTCTCTCTTGTTATGTCCTACGTGTACACACACCCTTTTCCTATATATTGGGTGTACACACCTTTTTTGTACAGGTGACACACAAACACAAATTGTGGACTCACACGAGGCATCACACACACCCATATTAATTTAGTAACATCCCTATCATTTTTAAAATCAACTATTTTCTCATCCACTGCTGTTGTGCCATGTTTCATATGACCCAGTGGTCTGCCGATGTTTGAGTGTGTGTTTTTTGAAGTGTCCAGTCCAAAGAGCATGGTTTGAGCCAGAACGCCGACAGCCCAAAGTTAACACATTCTCTTGCAGCAGACCCGTCGGTTGAAGACTGCTGTTGTATGATTAGGAACAAAGTTTTGGGAGTTTAAATGTTGACAGAATGTTGTGGTTTACAGGTGACGCTCTGGAGTCAAACGGGTGTATTCATTACGGAAACTGTTTACCGTTTAAGAACCAAATGAAGCAAACGGGTCAAAACAAGTTTCTATTGAACACATTTGGGTAGATCCCACTCCATTTTGTTCCGTTCGCTTCAGTTTAAGAAATGTTTTACAACTGAATCAGCGGAATGAATACACCCAAGGTGAAATGGACTGCAGCTGACATGAGACTGGTTTTGTCTGTTTGGTTGCATGTCTGTCAAAGTGTCAAAAAATCTCTGTTTGGGACAAGAGGCATTATGTTTTGGGGCCTTTTGTAGTGAAAAGTTTGATAGATTATTAATACGTTTTCTCTATGCACAACACAGGAAGCTGGTGAGGGGTGGACGGCTCATAATAATGACTGGGATGAAGTGAATGGAATTGTATCAAATACAAGGAAACCATGTTTACCATTCCAGCCATTACTATGAGCCTGTTCTTCCCAAATAAGGTGCCTGTGATGCACACATTAACTTAACGAAATTACAGTGGCGTGTCAGCTGCCTGGCTCGGCTCCATAACAGACTTGATCCTAACTATGTTAAGTTGTTGTGCTTCTAACATCCAATCTCTTATACTCTCACACGCTCTCCCTCTCCTCTGACTTTTCCCATCCATTTCTCTTTCTCCTGACAGCTCATAATTTGTGAGAGGACTGTCATACCGGACGCCAAAGTGAGCACTTCACCCAGCGAACAAACCCCTCTAATACAGGACCACGTGGACTAACGCATGCGCACACACATGTAGGGAGAGCTGCCTAGGCCAGTTCTGCAGGACTCTCTCTGCATGTGTTTGAGACTGAAGAGCACTGGAACCCCAAAACCACTGACTATTCTCTCTCGCGCGCTATATATATCTAAACTCTCTCAGGCCTGGCCTGGTGCTCACCTGACTACACCTCACCTGGTACGGTTCTCACCTGGTCCTGCATCTGCTCCAGGAGACTTTCTCGACCTTTAATTCTGTTCAGGGCTCACTGGTCAACAGGGAAGGGCAGGACCACCCCGGTTGGTTCTGCTCTTTGGTGTCCCATCCAACCCTCCAATGAGGATCCACTCTGAGATTACATCATCATGGAACATCACCGCATCCACACAGTTGCTGTTATGTGAATCTTTCCTTGTCTGTTTGTTATACTTCCATTTCTTCAGATGCTTTAACAACAACTTAATATCATGTGTTTTTACTGTTCCTGAAATGCCATAGGAAACCACTCCGCTAGATCTGTATTGTTAAGCGTTCCTCTCCTCTGGGTAGATGTTACCTGTATGCACAGATCTAGGATCAGCAAACCTTAGCCATTGCAGGAAGAAATGCAAAACTGACCCCAAATCAGCACCTAAAAGCAACTTCATTCTACAATATCTCACCAGACCAAAGAAACAAAAAGTTTACTTTCTGCATTGACTGGAATTTAAATGGGATTTACCCCAACCCAGGGGCTTAGGCACGGATTGGCCTGGGTGGGCAAAGGCCCACCCACTCAGATTGCTCAAAAAATGGTCTACTTGTCAGTGTTCCAAATGGAACATTTAGTTGTCTTTTTACCTTAGCACAGTACTTGACTTGGGCAGGAGTTCACTGGAGCTGAGTACTGGCACCTCCAAATTTTCTTTTGCTTGAATTCATGCACTTCCTATTGAATATTAACTCAAAAGTATTAAGGTGTTCCTGCACCTAAATATAAACGGTACCGGCACCCAAACTGAGTACTGGCAAGTCAAACACTGGCCTAAACATGTATACACCATCAGATAGAATTCATAGCACACAGTAAGAAGGGGGTGAGAAAATGAAAGGGAGATATATATTTATAATACATTTTATTTGGCAGATGCCTTTCAGGTCACTCAAGGACATCTTACATCAAATCTATTTCATTTAGGCCTATGTAATGAATCTGAATTAATTATTTACTGGGAAATAAAAAATAAACTGTCAGCTTATTTCAAAAATAATGGGCGGGTTCTGGCTCGTGTCACTTCACACTGGTACCATGTGCAGTAAACCATAGCAATAGCTGTGTAGGATACTCACCATTAGCCAACAAAGCTCACTGTTAAATTCTTTTCAAGATGCCATGTATAGAAGAGGATGTTGGCGCATTTGCCAAGTTAATTAATATCAGTGATTTTGACATGAAGGGCCTCCAGTCCCCCTCTATATTAATCACTGATCTAATCAAGCGCTTTAAAGACCATTTCAGTACATTGAGCAATCATCAGCACTACAACTCTGTTTTTATTCAACACTTTTAGAAATCATGAAACACTCTTATCCACTTCGACTCGCTCTCGCTCCCTCCTGCTGAGTCATGACCATCAGTCCAGTGAAATAAAAAAACAAGTTATTTAAATTTATGCTCCGTGTCGCAAATAATAGGCTATTGTCTTACCTGTGTTTATATAGCCTAGCTTGAGACTCGTTTTGAAATATAAGTGATTCTATGTTATTTATAATAAGGGGTAGGCCTACATGGAGAAAATCAAATCTGTTATATGAAAATAGGCAAATGTATGAAACAATATTTATTTCCAATCAATGTAAATAGCCTATGATTTTTAGGATTTTAATTTAATTGGAAATATAATTTTGCCCTTTGCTTCTCTCCCCATGAACTATAGTTAGGCCCTATAGGCTATTGATCATTTAATTGATATCACAATACATTGTAGGCACACTTGATCTCTGGCGCCCAGCAGAGAATTGCACTCTGCTTGCATTTTGACTCATAAAGTGATATTGACTAAGAAAAGGTAGTCTATATAGGCTATGGCCTGTTATTATGTGTATTTGCATACTGTTAGGCTATAATTTACATTTCCTTTGATGGTGTTTAATATGCAGCGTGTAACCTAATGCAAACCTAATCTCCTTTGATTGGCCTCAGTGATTAACACTAGAAAAGCCTGGCCTCGTTGGACAGCTGTTTGTCAGATTCTTCATATGCTACTTAACAATTGATAATATTCTCACCCATCAGATTATTGTCAAAGTCTTTATGTTAACTCTGTGTAAAATTAGTTTTTATATAGTTTAGGTGTAGTTTCGATGGACCATCAGCTGCACAGGCCTGATGGGCAGATTATATTAAGATTCTAACAACGATAGTGTGACTTATTTAGGAAAAGTCAAGGACAGGGGTGACACAACTTTAAAAATGGCAGAGTAATAAAAAAAGTTCATTTGTTTCCTGTCGATATGACTCTCTCGGCTCTCCTAGTGTTAAATGGTTACATTTGTGGCCGCTTAGCCTACTATCTTCTGGTTGCTGAGCCAGATAGGTTGCCAAGCCTATTGTGATTATTACTGCTATATCAGGGCATTATAGTCTATTAATTATAGAACTATGGTTTATTATGTGTAGGTCTATGAGTATTTTTTTGGCCTACCTAAATTTTAGCTGGCCCTGCCGTAAATGGATTTCTGCCTACGCCACTGCCCCAACCCATTTTTTTTTGGTTGCAATGTTAGGAATAACAGCTCTTTCAGAGTAAATTAGGTAGGATCTAGAAATGTCCCTCTGCTTATGGCATAGGCACCAGCAATGACTGTTGAAGTTTTACAACACCAACGTGCCTTTTTAATTGGAAACTTCTTTGCCCAAGCCCAAATTGATTCCAGACCCCTAAATTGACTCCTAACCCCTTGGCACATTTGAGAGGATTGGATAGCTCTGGTAGCTCTACCTTGCCCTCTGGATTTTCACCATACAGCAAATGCTCACGGTCAGGGGCTAGTCAGCCTTTGTCACAGGCTTTCACTTCACCTTCGGTAACGTGAGCGAAGCCTGGGCGTCCAAGGCTAGGGGCAAGGGGTCCATTTGGAATTGGGCTGTTTATGGTGTGTCCTCTGTCTATTGTGGCCATAGACCAGGGGTGCTTAAACTTTTGCGCTTGGTGGGCCAAAATATAATCTGAGTGGTGGGCCGCGGGCCGAACAAACAAATATTTGTACAAATAAAAAGTAAACAATAGCTTTTTAGTAAGCAATCATAAAATCACACTTCAAACATTGTAGCCATATAACTTGAAACCTAACACATTCTGATTACCAGTATTACATTTTTTTACCGTTGTGGCACAGACACTGCTACCAAGTTTCTATGTTCATAAGGCTAATAACTTGAATATGTTTCAAATTACTTGAATATGAGAAAGGTGTAATAATTTGTATTTGCAGCAGTAAGTCACCAAAATGCATTGGAAAGGTATTGGAAAGTTCATTAGGCAGAAGCGCCACTAGCCTTTTGGGGGCCCTAAGTGAGATTTGGTTGGGGACCCTCCACCTCACAGGCAAGACAATTTAGATTGTGTCCCTTCCCCCCCAGGGGCCGTTGTACAAATGTTGTCATGACTTATGCCATGTTCATATGATATCCGAGTGAGTGACTAAGTAAAAAATATGTGGGAAGCCCCTGGTGGTCAGGGACCCTGGGCATATGCCCTGCGTGCCCATTTGGTAATTCTGGTGATGATTAGCCTACTACAAGGTTTAGCTTGCTGGCTAGACTACCTTACCTCGCAATCAACAACAACAAAAAATCGCTGACATGGGCTAATTGAGTGACTGTCAGTGACTGACCATAAGAAGTGGAAAACTGCTGATGCACTACCAAATTTTGAAATTGCACCTTCTGTATTTACATTTTCTAACTCTCAATAGTAAGAGACCCCGACAAAGTTCCTTTGTTGTTTTTTTGGAACCTTCTGAAAGGCCAAACCAAACATTGTCGGCCCTGCCATAGACCATACTGTACATAGTAATAATTCTGTGATAGAATGTAAAGAGCATAGCACATAAAACGCTTGTATCCAAACTATGGCTGTGTCTCAAATGGCACCCTATTCCCTATATAATACACTACCTTTGACCAGAGTTCACTATATAGGGAATAGGGTGCCATTTGGGACACATTATTGGGAATAGGGTGCCTTTTGGGACACATTATTGGGAATAGGGTGCCTTTTGGGACGCTTCCAAGGGTCTGGATGCATTTCATTGTGTGCTTTTTGACAACACAGGATCTTTGAATGAGATGGCTGATGTGAGATTTGTGAATTTGCACCCTCGTACTCCTTTAGTGGTGAGAATGAATAACTTTGTAAATAATGAATAAATGTGCCATGAATTGGCATACAGTACTTCCACTGCTGGGTTGGTCTCCTGTGGTATTTTACATCAGACGTGTGTGCGTGCATGCATGTCTGGTGACGGTAAACACACTTTTATTGATTTATAACACTACCTTTTTCATACTTAATGTGCAGTATAACCCATGATGCTTCAGATACTGTATGTTTGAGTGCATGCAAGTGTGTTTGCTCAGTATGTACGCGTGTTTGTATGCATACATTGTAAAACTAAGTGTTTGTGTGTACTTGTTATTGATTTATAATGCATACAAGACATTACACACAGTGTGAATTTAAGTGTGTGAATTTTAGTGTGTGCGTGCATCTCAGGGTGTTGTGGTAGGTGTGTGACATTGACTCCAGTGGTCAGCAGAATGACGACGATCACGCCGGTTACTATGCCAACAATCAGGAACGAACCACCGCTTCACTCTTCTTCTCAAAGAGTTTTGACTGTAAACACACACCAGAGAAAGAGAGGGGTGAGAGAGAGAGGGGTAAAACATGGACTGTAGTCTATGGCATGTGCTGAACTGCCAACTCTGACCAAGATCCCACTGTTTGGATAGTCCCTATAGATGCTCAGACTATCAAACGATCAACAACAACTTGATATGCAACAACTTGGAAGGGAAAAAGAGAGAGAGATGTGGGAGGAAGAAGGATGATAATAGCAAGAGAGGTGGGTGTGAGGATGGAGAAGGAGTGGGTGAGGTGATCCAGTCTCTCTCCTCTCTGCATCATGTTCCCCGTGTTCTGTTTCATCTTATCCGTCACCTCGTCTATAGTACGATGGAGCGACCGGATCTTGTCCTCCCCTCTTCTTTCTCATCCCCCTCTCCCTGCCCTGGGGGGAAAGTCTCCTGGAAGAAGTTTAGCTGAATTTAGTTTATAATGCTCTTATGTGCATGCTCAAAAGATGCCAATCTTATCTGCAAATGGTTGTGTAGGTGTAGGCTTTTACTCCAGCCAAAGTAGTAATACACCTGATGCAATTTATCATCTAATTAGTCTTCAAAAAATAAGACCGTTGATTCAGCTGTGTTACTGTTTTGGCAGGTTCGAAAGCCTGCACCTACTCTGGTCCTCACAGGGTTTTTATAAGAAAATACACGCTGAACACCATATTCACAATCACCAATCATGTTTCAACTGTCAGTGGTCACCAAGAAGAATTCTAAAATACTCCTGTGTCATGAGTTGTGGTAGGAGAAATGTTAGGATACACCTGTGTCATGAGTTGGTTTGGGATATTTAGACATTATCTTCCTGATTCTT